TTACTTTTTTTGGTAGCATTTTGTAGAGAAATTTTAATGATTGTTTTCAGTATCACAATTTTGCTGTTTGTGGGTTGTGGCTATCTATATTTAGTTAGTTTAGGAATATTGTTAGGGAATTAGTTGCAAGGACAATTTCTCAACTCAAATTAAAAGGGTTTTGGAGAAGAATGTGATTTTTTGTCGAACATTTGGACCCTCTAAATTCTTTTGTCTTGGATTGCTTTAATTTTTAGAGGTAAGAACAAGACCGTGTAGTATTTTGGTTTCGCGACATTCATAGGGCGAGCTTCGTCTATGAATTGCTTTAAGTTTTTAGAGTTAAGAACAAGCCGTCGTTCTTTAGCAGTATCGGGTGGGTTTTGCCAGAGCTTCCTTCATCTATGGTTGGTGCATAGATCTGCAATTGTATTTGGTCCTTTTTTTTATTACTAAGGCCTCTCATTGAAATAATTTTGTGTATTTCTGCCATTCTATACATGACCAAGGGCCATTAGTCATAAACTTTTGGTTCAAAGAAAAGGTTGTAATATATGGAGCATTGACATCTAACTTAAATGATTGTATCATTGTTTTAGCATTCAGTACAGTTATCAGGAGTGAATTTTGTTCCCACAACCTTTTGTGTACAAAAACTATTATGGGATCAATTATCCAGTAATGCAGTAATGCGGCATTCTGAAACCGAAATTATTGAAGCCCGACTTATTGTTTTACCCTGCATATAATCAAACTTTCCTAAGACATGATTTTGGCCCCCACAAAAGCATAACTAGTTGTGTTTTGGAAGTTCAGTCATTCTCCTTTTTGTTTTTTCTAAGTAAAATATTAGAATTGCTGAATTCCAATATAAATGAGCAGTAATCAGAAGTAGAAACATCCATTTTCACATAAAAAAATGTGGTTTTTTCATTTTGCATTTAGTACCCAGAACATCACATAATACCAAAATTAATCCAAGACTTACCTCTTTCCTTTTTTTTTGTCTTTTGCTCTCAAATATATATATATATATATAGAATGCCCCGTGAGCTTCGAGTTTCAGAACTACACTACATTGATAGACCAATGCAAGGGACCCCAGTATCCAAAAAAGCCATGTTGTGACGCATTTAAGGAATTTGCGTGTCCATTTGCAGAGGTGCTGAATGACTTGAGCAACGACTGTGCCTCGTCCATGTTCAGCTACATCAACCTCCACGGGAGGTATCCTCCGGGCCTATTTGCCAATGAGTGCCGGGAAGGCCAACAGGGGCTCGAGTGCCCTGCTCCACCCCCAGGCTCTAACAGGTCCACCACTAATAATAACAACGCTGCTCACAAGACAGTGGGTGATTTGTGGATACTCGTTTTGCTCACCTTATTGTCGATGCAATTTATGTGAGGGGGGGTTAAAAATTAAATTCATTGGTATCTTTTTTTCTCTTTGTTTTATTATTTTGTGGAAATTCATTAAATTTATTGGCGAACTGGGGATTTATGGCGCGGTGCTTTCCCCATCTATACAGTGGTTGTGTATGTGGGTCTTGACGCTCACACGTGAGACGAGGACTTAGATACTTTTTCTTACTCATCCATGGTTGTATCTTTATTTATTTTGTTGTTTTTGGTGTGGTTCGAGCATATGGCTAGCATGTCTCCATTGATATTCTGACTTTCAAGTTCTGATTATTCACAGCAGTATATATAGTATTGTAATGGGGACATGTATGTGTTTTCTAATTGAAATATAAGAAATAGTTTTTTTAATAATAGCAAAGTTCGAGTACGCATGGAAATTTAACCGGCTTGTCCTGCCTGAAGATATTACTGCTAGTGACCTTTTCATGTATCTCAAGGTAAATAGGAATATGAACACTGATAGAAAACAACCACCCCTTCTTTGAATTAAAGGTGAGTAAGGGTTGTTAAAAAGACAGAAAAACAGATGATCTGTATATGATTTGTTTTATTTATCCACATCTGTTCAGTGCCGGAAATGGCAAACGCTGGCAAATATCAACAAATGCCTCGTATTTCATTATATGGCGTCCATATATGACTGGTTTACAGAGTTGATATACATGATGAGAGCCTTTATTACACAACAGCGAACAATTGAGCTTAAATCTTGCAAACAGAGATTAACTCATTGCTTTGAAAAAAGGAAAAAAGGAAAGAAAAGAAAAGAACAGAACAAACAGACTGTATACTTATGGCGCAAATATATATTCATTGCATTGGCTTTGTGCAGTTTCTGTAGTAACTTGAAGGGAAGAGTCACCACATGAGCTTGCGCTTGGACAAGAGCCGAAACTGCTTTTTGGTCATGCACCATGAGGGGAAAGTGCTCAGCTGTATCAAACAAAAACATTTGAAAAGGTTAAAGAAAAGTGCCGACTAACAGGAGCAATGAAGCAAATCCTACCACTGAAATGGACTCTATTTTTTAGGTAACTACTCTAAAGAACATTGTAAATTTTTGGGGTTCGGTAACAAGAGTTTTGAGCAAAATTTGGGGTTTGGACCCTAATTAGAGACTTGAGAAATCAGATCGCAAATGATTTGGGATGTCATTCTTGTCCATTAATAATGTGCCAAATACTTTTATTCAATCAGTAAATAGAATACGCTGGTCAAACTAGCTTAATGTAATCAGCTATATGCTATACACCAACAATCAGCTATCGGTATTCGCCAAACAGGGCCACAGCCACAGAGAAGGCGTTGATCACACTATTTCTTCTACGCCAGCAGCCCAATTTCTAATCAAGGACACCACTTAAATTGATAGAAAAGAAGAGTTTGCGAAGGGATAATGAGAAAAGAAGAGTTTGCGAAGGGATGATGAGAACAACTTACATTGCATACAAGCTTTGCCCCAAACCATGCAGAATCTGTTCCATAAGGTGGAGGAATAACTCGAATTCCGCCAGACATTGAGACTGGTAGAAGTCCAAACAGTTCCTTTTCAAGTCTTCCTGGAAATAACAAAAGGAAAAAACAAAAAAATGTCCTCAAATGAAATGTGCATCGACTTGAGAGAGAGAGAGAGAGAGAGAGAGAGAGAGAGATTAAACCTGCTAATCCTTGCAAGCATGCGGTACCCCCGGCCAAAACTACAGTTTTATACCAGTTATTGTCACCGGTTAGTTCAGCATCATGGCAGTGATCCATGCAAAGTCCCACGGCCTGATGAAGCCCCATCGCCTGCCTGTGGATGTATCACAAAATACAAATCTGCCGTAAAAGACGAGCAAAAGAAGATAATGGGCTGACCAAATTATCAACTTTGACCAAACAAAGTTTATCCAATTTACAGTTTATCCCTTTCAAGCACTTATCCAAAATAAATACCAGCAGGCCTCCACACAGAAAGAGGGTACATCAGATTTAAATTAATATTAAAAAATATCCATTACAGGGAGATTGCGTGCATACATTCCTGCCATGCGAGGCTGGAACAATATCTCTCCAGTTTGAAACCGTTCTTTTGAAAGCGTAAACTGAGTGTCCGAGGAGACTGCATAAGAAGCTTCTGTATCTTTCGATAGTTCAGCTTCGTAGTCAAGGGCGACATAGCATAGGTTCTGGAAGTACCAAAAAAGTTCAAAAAAATATAATCCTAAGTGCTTCCAAGAATTAAAGCCACCAAAGGCGAGTTTGTAAGAGACATTAGCAGTATAAAGCATGCTGCCAAGGCTTATGCAAGTACTATACTTAGTAGACAAACAAAACTCTCTATACAAGATTTATCAGTTACACTACCTCTTTCAATGTACTATACTTAATTAAAGATATACAAGTTACAAAATTCTCAATGCAAGTACTATAATTAGTACGCAAACAAATTTCTCCATACAAGATTTAACAATTACACTACCTCTTTCAATGTGCGGACAGTATAAAGAGAATCAAATTGTATATTGTTCTGTTGCAACCGGTCCCGAAGAAATCCCGTCAGTTTCAGTGCTCCCATTCCCACAACTTCTACACCCACCTTATGCATCACTTTGCCATGTAAAACTGCGGGAGGAGGGCGGACAAAAAAAAAAAGGTAAGATTTAGGTCCTCAAAGAACGGCTGGTTAGAAGTCAACCACAAAAAGTTGCCAATTTTCTTGAGGATATGTAAAGAAGTCAACATAGAGCAGTGTGTTAGATACTCCTGAAATGCTAATAATAAATAGATAGACTTTACTTGGAACAATAGAGGTCTGATTGAAACCAACATTCACTACAATTCCTGATGTGCGTCTTGCAGCAAACAAAGCCAAAGTAGCCTACATTTTGAATAAGATTTAAAATTATGTCAAGAAACTCAATTTGACAACAATTGATCAAACACGATATACAAATATGGTATCAAAATTTGTCCAACTTTTCCTGCACGTCAACAATAAAAGCAATAAGCTGGAAATAATGCTCCATTTCACATGTATATGTAGAAACTTGTGTAGAAATCTGGCAGTTCAATCCCACAGTACAAAGTGCTGATGAAAATGGAGCTTCAGTTAACATGACGTGTGACCTTGAATGGAGCAATGATTATGTTTCACACAGAAATTATGCTAGCTGGAGATGTCAATAAAACACAATTCTATTATCTTCTCTCATAGAAAGGAAAAAGAAAAAAAGAAAGGAAAGAAACATGACCAACAATGAATGGATATGTGAAATGAAAAAGGTATGGAAAAACCCATCCCAAGTAAATGTCTTATGAGGGCATAGTGCATACAAGTGGTGGGGTTCTGCCATGCAATATCCAATAATAACCTTGACCATATGTCCACAAAAACATCAGAGTAACGTTTCTGATGCATTGCTTCATTTCTCTTTCTGCATATGGTTTTGGGTTGGGAAAGGACAAGTTACGTGTTAAAGCTTATGGCCTTTTGTGTTGGTTCTATAAAGTTCCATCCAAAAATATGCAAACAATATACAAGCCATGTTATTGTAAGGTGTCAAACGAGCAGTCCACAACAGTGTCACATAATGTCTAGTAGGAATCAGAGTTTCTGACAACCCACTTCAACCAATTTTAAATAAAGACTAACTCAAACAATGAATAAAATAGATTATGTTCAAGATGACACTTCCATGTTCAAATTAGGCGTTTGAAGTATGGTTGGACGGTTTTATCCGAGAAAATTACCTGATTGATGGCACATACAGCAGGAACATTCATATCGAATAATGTTGAGTAGATAGCATTTTTTAGTTGTCTTCGAGAACTTTTTGCGGACTCGGTATCTAATTTGTTATGGTGCAAACATCAATGGAAAACATTAAGTAGATAATAGCATGCCTACCCAACTAAACTGACAACAGAAATAACAGAAGTGAAAGATAAGAGTTTCGGTGAATTTAAAAAACAACATTATTTTGGATAAAAAAAAGTTCAAAATATATAAAAACCTTTATCTATTTTGTGTCATTCTTCCAGGCTTAAAGTTAAACACATGATTCCAGAAACTTAAAGGAATCAAAGAGCTTTTAGCTTAAAAGCTAGCCAAGAGAGTTTCTGGAGACAATTAGAAAATTCAAATGACAGATCACAGAGGCTAACCATCAGAATGACAGAGTGGTAATGATACAACGATTGGTTGTGTCGATGTTTTCACCTGCATCCTGCATACCATGGAGCCCATACGTATTTCCGTGAACAAAGAAACAAGTGAAGACAATAAAAGTGCAATTGGATGCAATTAGATGAAGAAAATTTAAGAAAATAAAAATAAAAATCCCTTTCTAAAATTGAGATGCAAAGGTGAAAAATGTTGTTTTTTAAAAAAAGTAAAAAACTAATATAAATATGACATTGTTAATGAAAATATGGTAAAACTATAATGAAGATAGCTAATGTAATATTAAAATAGTAAAATATGTATTGATGATTGACAATTAGAGTTAACATTACTTTGTTGGAAAATATATAATAATAATTCATTTTTATTTTTTGATTGCATTAGTGGAATTGTAAAGAAAAACTGAGATCAAGTAATTAGTGTAAAGAGGAATTAACTGATTCTATTCTTCATACTCAAGAGTACAATCTACAATGATATATATACCAGTCTACGAGCAGATAAAGAAGGAAAATAAATCAACGGCCCTAACCTAGGGGATTGCAATAATCAACTAATTGAGGGTTTGAATTGAGGGTTCACAGTCACATTAAGTCGCTCATACTCCTCAATCGTGATGATGACCATATTAGAAGTAGATGAACATAGGATGAGTTTTTGCTATGTAACAGTGAAGTTTGGTTATTTTTATAGGTTAGATTTTCTGGCTTTTTGCCCAAACCGCTGCTCACTCCTATTCCTAGTTTCTGAAACTGAAACGAAATTCCAATTTCTAAAAATGAAACAAGACCCAAATGTCCCAAAATATCCCCTCCATAGGGAACAAATCTTCTCGAGACGGAAAAGTAACACTGGAAACCAACACCCCTAAGAATCCCGAGGCCGGTTAATATTCCGACCACTTATATGCTCACACGCATCGGCACGTAAGATTGGTGGACGTGGAATTATTGGTGCGTGGGACACACGCACACAAGATTTGACCGGCGTGTTGATCTGCACAGAAGGTAACACCCAAAACTCCACGAGATGGAGCACCACCAAAGAGCAGAGAATGGGCTCCGGAAGGAGAAAAAATAAAGGTTCAAGAACCCCTGGTTCTGATATCATGTAAAGGGGAATTAACAAATTCTATTCATCAATCTCAAGATTACAATGTGCATTGTGCAATGATATATGTACTAGGCTAGGAGCAAATTAAAGAAGGAAAATAAATCAGCATGCCGAATCTAGAGACTACAATAATCAACAGATCAACTACTTGATACTCTTATACCATATATACATTAACAAATAGTATTTTTTCCCAAAAAAAAAAGAATTTTTTCATTTTCATCTTCAATGGGATAAATCTTGACTGGGCAGGCAAAATGATTTGTTACGCAATTGCCAACTAAACACTTATGAAGCATGAGTGTTTAGCACCATGAAATGCAAAATATCACACAGAGTCTGTATGGTAACCAGTATTTAAAATTCAAGAAAACGCAAAGGCCAACATCTACATTACATATATAAGGAGCAGATGTTATGAATAGGAGAAATTATAAACCTGGAACAGATTGTTGCATAGAAATTTCTAAGTTTAGAAGACATTGGAGAGTCGATATTTCCAAATTCCTGCAAAATAGTATAAACAGTTGAATTCTTTAATGTAAAAGGATATGGAGCTCCAAATTGCAAGTTCCTCCTGGGAAGCATTATATTGTAAATATATGAAGAAAGCTAACCAGAAATGTGGCTGATCGTCCTGATGGAGAGGAATACTTGCTCCATCCATATTTACAATAACCAGATCCACCTACGATTATTTAAAAATGATGTTGGTTATTTACGTGCAGAATAGCATTATAACCAATTGAAACTCCTATAATTTTATAGCTATGGAAAGATGCATTTCCGTCATTTAGAACTTCAATCTTCAATTTTACTTGGATGTGTATATAGGGATTAGAAATCATTTTAAGCAAGCCTAACTAGGTTACAGAAATGCAACAAAGGAAGGTGGGTGACACTTCAGAAAGTGATAGTCGAAGTCAATTCAGACAAAATCCTAGAATAACTAACATCTGAAGACAAGATTTTAATATTTATCTATTTTGGAAAGTGGGTATAATAGAGATTGTAGGCAATCAGAAAGATGGGGTCCAAGTGCCAACTATTGATTATATACCATCAATTATAACAGCTCCAGGAACCTCTTCGCGCTGACCAAATATGTGCATAAAGGACAGGTCATGCATTTGAGCAGGAAAAGCTCTGCAAATACAATAAACATCTAAAATCATTGTCCTTACTAACAGTAGCTAAATATCCAATAAATTTGAGCATATACTCAGAACAAAGCATGAAATAATACAGAAGCAACAATCAATTTAAAGATACATCTGCATTAATAGCAGCAATACAAATCACAACACTGGTGCCTGGTGGTGTCTTTCGTTAATATCATGATGGAGATGGTTCCGAGCAATATTTATGTCAATTAATTCAACAGAACATATTAGTGCTCATGCTTCTGAACGAAAAGATAATTAAGTACTTTAGAATATCAGATATTCAAGTGCTATGTATACTTAAAAGAGGCATCCTTCAGCACGAGCAGTGCTTTCCGGACACAGACCCACAATATTTGCTAAGCAAAATGTTCTACCAAAATCAGACATTTGAAGGACATGAAGACATACTTTCATCGAGGCCTAACAAATTAAAAAAAAAAAAAAAAATGAACCACAACAGAATTAGTTGATACAAAAATTTATCAGTCAACCTCAACTGTCAAATACTCAATTCACTCACTAAGAGGACCGCTCAATTCATTGTCCTGGACGGTAAAAGGAAAACCAATATTACTTATGTAAAGCTTAAATTCAACATTTATTAAGTACCCAGCTTCATTCACAGTCATCTTCAATGGCGTTCAAAATTAAAAATAAAAACAATTAGGTTCTTTAATCAACTACAAATCCCACCCTGCAACAACAGCCCTATCCTCACTCATCACATACTCAGCACATATAATGTCATAAACAGTGCATCTGCGAGAATCGCGTAACAAAAAATGAGAAGCCTAAAAGCATTTTTATTTATTTTTTTTAAAATTTATCCATCATTTAGGAAGAAATAATCGTACTGCAGAGGATAACCGGATCGTAAGTGAGTCTCAGCGAAGAATACAGAGTCCCAAGGCTCCGGCTGATTCTGCAGAAAATAAATCCAGAGCCGATTATCCGACAACAGAAACTTCCACGATCTACACACCGCTCTGAGCTTCGCGGACTCCCTCGGGCCGAGGATCTTGACAATCTGCATTAATATGTCGAACGGAATCCGGTCGAAATCCCCGGTCGACGAGGCGGGGATGTGCATCGTCGGGAAGAAACGGTCGGGCTCCGAAAACAAATTCGGGCTGGATAAGCGGCCCGAGCCTGAGGGGGAACCGGATCGGTGGGTGACGGATACCCAGAGCTTCCGAATCAGAGAATTCATGGCCGATGGTGAATCAGAGCTGCAGTAAGCAAGGTGCCGTCTTGATTGATAGGTTGCTTTGGACTTTGGAGAAGCATTTGGAGCCAGAATTTGAGGTTTTTAATTATTTTATTATTTTATTCAGACGGGGAGAGAGCATACAATACTGCCACGTGTTTAAAGTTAGAGCCCCGGGAAATTGCTGGCCGAGCAGTTAGGCACGAGAGCCACGTGAATTTAGAAAAAACTGCCGCACGTGAGAGTACAAGTTGTAGAGATATTATTAGAAATGTGAAACGCTAAACACTCTTTTCGATATTTATCGTCTCAACAGACAAAGGGGCCGTTTACTTTCAAGGATGGGATTATTCATAATAATCCAGCCAACTTTACATGTCATCAATTTATTTTATGTTTACATTATGGGATTAAAAGATCTGAAAATCGTCTTATATGTTAAATGCCAAATTTAACCTCTATTTCATAAAATTTGTCTCTTCAAGTAGAGTGCTCAGTGAAACTTGTCCTCAAAGGCCAATTTTCATCATTTAATTTCATTAATTCAACACTTTGAACATCTGAATCAATGACATTTAAGTCCACTTTTATCAAGAACAATTCACTTGCCCTCTTTCAAAAATTTTGTCGAGCCCAAACCCTAATAAACCCAAACCAGGCGTGGACGACGAGGTCTGAGCCCCTCTTTCCAAAATTCCGTCGAGCCCTTCTTTCATTTGCGACGACGAGGTCCACCGAGGTTTTCAAGCATGGATGAACGACAGCGCATCTTGTCCGAAAGGGACAATTCCGATAAGAAGGACGAACGGCGAAGAAGAAATTTCGAT